CTTTTAAAAATCTGAAAATTTTAATAATACAAGAAACAGAAACATGTTATAAACATTTGAAAAAGAGAAGAAAAACAAAAAAATCACCTATCTTATCACTTTATTTTTTATTATTAAAAAATTTTTTTTTCTTTATTGAATTTTTAGAGAGAAAGGAAGAGAGATTTTATAGAAACATCGATGAGAGAGGACATTGACTGGCCGCCTCCTGCATGCCCCCCACTGGGGATCAGGCCCACAACCTGGGCACGTGCCCTGACCGGGAATCGAACTGGCGACCTCTTGGTGCATGTGGGTCGACGCTCAACCACTGAGCCACACCGGCCAGGCTACCTTATCACTTTAAAAGAACCATTGACAGTATTTTTTAAACTGATGGATAACAATACAAGGTAGACAGACTGTAAGTGTATAACTCTAAGACTTTTCCCATATGTGCACATCTGTATTACCACCGCCCAGACAGAATGTGGAGCACTCCTAGCACCCTAGTATGCTCCCTCAAGTCCCTCCAGAAGATGCTCCCTCCAAGGTAACTACTCTTCTGACCTCTATCCTCATGTATTAATTTTGCCTATTATTTGAACATCTATAAATAGAACCATATAGCATACATGGTTTGATGTCTGCTTCTGAAAACATGATGCATACACATGTCCATCAGTAGTTTGTTTTCATGGCGGGTAGTACTGCACTGTATGTATTTCATTATCCCCCTCTCTTAATATGAACACAATTAGCGTTTTAATGTACTTCCTCATTTTTCCTCTACACACATTTTAAACATAGCTACAAGGCGGTATACTACAGCTTACAGTGTTTTTGTCTCTTTATACTTAACATTTCTGGTCTTAAGAATATTTCTATTTTCATCCTGTACTATGTCTTGGAGAAAAGTTGCTGGAGTTACTTGGCACCCATGTAAAGATTTTCTCCTGTTTGTTCTAAAACGGCCATTTAGAAAACTCAGAGGGGCTAAACAGGACTGTATCCTTCACGAATTGGTCTGTCCTCACTCAGCCATTATCTTTCCAGATGAAGGCCTTGCTGTGTCCAGTACCATGTACCATGTGAACAGACCAGTGGCCCCGGCCCATACCGAGGAGCTCACATCCATGAGGGACACACAGAAGCATGTGGAAGAGAATTTCTCTCACCTGGTACATGTGTCTTCTTAGCGCTGGGCAAGTCTGAAAGGCCTCGGGCTCTGAGCTGCGTCTGGGGACTGGAAGGTAGACTAGGTAATGACCAGTGAGGACAGTTGGTCCGCAGCCAGGCTATGAGGAACAACTCTGTGTGTGTGTGTGTGTGTGTGTGTGTGTGTACATAGCCAGCATGGCTTGTTCTTTGCGCTTGGTACCAGCATGTTCCCTCATTCTGTACTTTCTGAGTTCATCTTGCCTGGTGTTCCTGACAGGCGCCCCCCAAAGAAATGAGTGTTTAAAGCACGAGTCTGGCTTTGACTTCTGCCAGAGCTCCTTGTTTCTGCAATAGCGTCAGGCCTCTTGCATGTGTCTGTGTCAAGACAGGACCGGAGGTTGGTTGTAAAGGACCCCATCCTGTTATTTCCCTTTGCTCTGACTTATTGGAATGTGCGGAAATGTGGGAAGAGTGGATGTCGCAAGAGCCTGTCAGAGGGGCCTTGTCTCCCACACTGGTTGCGCTCCTGAGAATTACGCCCATCAGTGCGTGTTTCCTTTTTTAAAATCCTCATCCGAGGATATGTTTATTGATATTTTTTGTAAGGGAGAAAAACACTGATGGGTTGCCTCCCATATGCACCCTGACCGGGGATCAAACCGGAAACCTAGGTCTGTACCCGGACTGGAAACCGAACCCACAACCTTTTGGTACACAGGACGATGCTTTAACCAACTGAGCCACCTGCGTAGGGCATCAATGCTTATTTCTTTACTGCGGCTCATGCTGGAGGCACTGGGGCCTATGTGGCGTCCATGGCAGGGTTCATTCCCGGGGAAGTGCGGCTGGGGCATAGGACACAGAGCTCCTCGCTTGTCTTGCTCCCTGTGTGTGCTGGTGGCTCCCCACAGCCCTGAAGCTCCCAGGTGATGGACCCAGCAGCGGGTGTCCATGAAAAGTGAGAAGAAGGATATGAGCAGCTCCCACAGCCCTCGCTCTGCCAGCAGGTGAAAGGTTCGGGCAGCTGGGGACACTCAACTAAACACAAGGTCTGATGAGGAGGAGGCGCCCTTGGGCTCCAAGTGTCCACGAGGGCGAAGCCCGGGTAGTAGCCTGATTGTTGTCCTGTCTTCTCTGCTGTCCCAGCTCCCTGTCCGCTGTGGTCTGTTCCTAGGCCGAGAGGCTGTGACAGTGGACCCCTAGCTCTGGGGCTCCGCCTCTGCTGCGTTTTCACTGAGGAGAACAGGGCAGCTTCCTGGGCCAGAGGGGTTGGAGCACGGCCAGCAGGTGCAGTAGGTTTCGTCCTCCCCTGCGACCCTAGGTTTTCCTACTTCTTCTCTCCCTTCCTCAGTTCCTGGGATGAGAGAAAGGCCCAGAGTTTGGCCAACTTTGCTGAAGAGCAGCATCTTCGAGGTGCTGCTGCGAAGGGACGGAGGCAGCGCGGGCCTGTGGTGCCCCCTAGGGGGCGAGTGTCCCTGAGCTCACTGGCAGCGCAAGTGAGCTCCTCTGGCAAGTCAGCCCGACTCATGAAAACCCAGGACTCACTACAAATAAAACATGAAATGGAAAGGGAAGGGAGAGTTATAATTTACTTCATAAAATTTATTTCAGTGATTTCTCATTTACAAAGGTACCCTACAAGGAATGCCTCCTACATCTTAAGTTATTTGATTTAGTTAGGAATTTACACACTTTATTTCCCCCATGAAGGTGGAAAAGATGGAACTTACTATATAAAGTGAGAAAACCTATAAAAGAATTGGATTACTCTCCAAAAGGGTAATACAGATATACTCGGTTTTATATATTATTCTTATTGTCATCAGATTTTTTTCTTTAAGGCAATTAAAACGAGATATTGTTTGCATGATTAGAACTAATACAAAGGTTCAGTGAGCTGGCTAGATACATAATATCCAAAAGCTATTCATTTGAAATAACCAAATAGAAAATAAAATAGAAAGAAGATCTCATCAAATAAAACCACACAAGACCTTTATGGGGAAAAGCAATTCCCTTTTCTAAGGACTGTGCCAGGAGATTCCCTAGGAGGGGGTTCCTTTCAGCTATTTGCTCAGTGACAATCCTTGCTGAAGTGACCAAGGGGGCCGGCAGCTGATACAGAATGAGAAAGTCATTAGTATTTTGGTTATGGAACTGAGACCAGTTGGATACTCACGTTTCCGAGAATTAAGACATGATCTAATGATTTTTTTAAAAGTGCCAGAGGTAGTGATGATGTAGTCACTGCAGGACAGGACTGAACTGAGGCCGGCAGAGGGAAGCATAGTGGCAGGGTGGTATCCGTGACAAGCAGGAACCTCACAACAGCACAGGGTTCTGCAAGAGGGCGGGGACAACTGGTCTGGAGGCTGCGCTGCAGGGCAGTAAGGCCGATGACACATCCAGACCTGAGACCATGGGACCAGAGTGACAAGGCTTACCTGTGAGGTATATTGATGACACCCCTGTTTATGAGGAGCTTATACTCTGAAGAATAACGGTTGTGTTTGTATTACTTGTTCCCATTCACCTCACCTTGCCCACCTGTCCCATGATGCTCCACATTGCTTTATGTGTAATCACAACAGAATTTGGAAAGCTGAATATTTTTATATTGAAATGTATGTGTGTGCATGCCCTGGCTAGATAACTCAGTTGGTCAGAGCCTAGTCCTGATACGCCCAGTTTGTGGGTTTGATCTCCAGTCAGGGCATATGCAAGAATCAACCAGTAAGTGCAAAAATCAGTGGAATAACAAATCAATGTTTCTCTCTCTCTCTAAAAAAAAAGTGTGTGTGTGTGTGTATACCTACATATACCTATGTGGGTCTATAAACCAAACAGAATGGGAGGTGACCTGAGAAGGGATGGGTGGATTTAGGGTTAAAGCAGTCTTTTCCACTGACAGCACTCTGGACACTTTGGGCCAGACGATTCTTGTTGGAGGAGCTGTCCTGTGCATTGTAGGACGTTAGAAGCACCCTGGCCTCTGCCCACTGGATGCCAGTAGCACCCCCTCCCCAGCCGTGACAACCAAACACACCTCCAGATATTGCCAAATGTCCCCTGGGGTCAAAACTATCCCCTGTTGAGAACCACTAGGTTAAGAGTGCGTGTGAAAAAGAACAAAACAATGAGAACAGAAGGTAATTCGGACAAACTGCTGAAACTCTGGTCTTCTGTCTGCGGCCCAATGGCATTCGCTTAGGCCTCTCTAAACTGCAGCATCCGCTCCGTGACCTATGAGTTCCTTTCCACTGTCTCGTCCCCCGAGTTGGCCGTGTGGCAGGCGTTCCTGGACTGCCGGGAAGTACCGCTGTGGGAGAAGGGCTCACCTGCCTCCCTCTGAGACCCGGCTCCTGGCCTTTGCTCAGCCCCGTGTTTCCCATTTAAAAATAGGTCCTTAAAGTGAACACAAATCTTCCGTAAAGAAGCTGTGTTTCCACGCAAATGTATCTGAAGAGTTAAAATACATAATCAGCACTGCCTTTATTCAAGGGAAGAACAATCTCATATGATACCATGTATTAATCCCAAGACTAAATTCAGTAATTCTGCTCCTTGGACATTTATCTCAAGATGAATTCTGATCATCACGCAACACAAATTAAACTGGTTTTCAAAATATTTAGAAAAATAATACAAGACAACTCAACAACAAAAATAAACAACTCCATTTAAAAAACAGGGAAAGCACTTAAAATAGACGGAGTGGGGTGGTGAGGTGACGATTGTATGACGGGAGTGCACTTAATGCCACTGACCGGTCCTTAGCCATGGTGAAGACGGTACATTGTTACGTGTTTACCATAATTAAAGTTTTTGAAAAATACAAGAAATGACAGGAAAAGATTAGCTGAGTTTAAGGCAATATTTATTCAATTTCCTTACAATTACATTATCTAAGGCTTAAGTGGTGATTATTTGGCAAGGATACAATTCCTTTTAAGGCCTTGTCTAGTTGGATTTTAGTTCAGAAACACACCATATTTGGTGTATGTTTGAGAACTTAACTCTGGCATGGGCTCTTACTCATGGAAAACGTATCTTTGCCTTGCCATCCTTTGGTGAAACTCAGTCACTGCCAGGTAGGGTGTGGCCAGTCGTGCAGCCGCTCGCGGGGTCACCTGTGCGCGGGGGCCTGCGGAGGGAAGGGGGCGCGGGCCGTGGGGTCCCCGGGCTCAGGCTGTGCGCTCGAGGATGACCGCGATGCCCTGGCCGCCTCCGATGCAAGCCGACCCAACAGCGTACTTCCCACCTCGGCGCCTAAGGAAGAAAGCAGCAGCTGAAAACTCCTCGGAGAAAGAATTAATTAGCTATCTAATGAAAGAGAATTACTAATGGCCACATCTGTATTATTCATTCACATTCAGATCACCGTCTCAATATTTTCCTCAATCCTCAATATTCGTTGATAGTCACAAGTCACAACAGGAGAAAGAATTAGGAAAGCTGAATATTTTTATTTTTAAAAAAAGAAAAAAACAGTGGTGGTAGCCAGGGATGCAGGTCTCTCATCCACAGGATGGGGTTTGTTGACACTGTCAAGAATGAGGCCTATATCAACAGGTACCAACTGGAACGTACAAGACAACCAGAGGGTAAAACTGACTACTCTGCCTGGAAACAAATCGGAGGACAACAACAAGTACAACACACCCAAATACAGGAGGACAGTCCATGTCACCATCATTCGTCATGTCAGTCATCAGACTGCTTGTGTCCGCACGGAGGAGGTGCGGCGGTCTCTGCACCTGTGCTCAGGAACTCCACGCCCGGTGCGCAGGTGGGCCTGGCAGGTCAGGCTCAGCCTGTGTGCACCTGCTGCTGGCCCACATGCTGCTCAATGGGTTTGGCATGGACGAGATCTATGTAGGCCAGTGGAGATGGCTGGAGGTGAATACAATGTAGAAAGCCCTGGTGGTCAGCCTGGTGCGGGGCTTGCCAGAACTCCTACTGGAAATAGTTTATGGGGCCCTGAAGGGAGCTGTGGGTGAGCTTGTCTAACCCTCACACTGCCAAGTGATCCCATTTATGATTCAGAAAGCAAGGAATGCAGTGCAGAAATACATCGGAAGCACATCATGGGTCAGACATTGCAGAGTATATGCGCGGCCTAGTGGAAGAAGATGAAGATGCTCACAGGAAACACTTCTCTCAATACATAAACAACAACGCAACTCTGGACACGACGGAGGAGATGAACGAGAAAGCTCATGCTGCAATGTGACAGAATCCAGTCTATGAGGAGAGGCCTAAGAAGGAAGTTAAGAAGAGGTGGGACATCCCAAAATGTCCCTTGCCTAGAAGAAAGAGCAGGGAGCTCAGAAGAAGGCAAACTCCGCAGAGCTCAGAACAGGCTGCTGAGAGCTAGCAAACCAAACCAGGTTTTTGTGAACAGTTTCCAGATAAAGACAAGAATAGACTTATTGACCAAGCAAAATAAAACCAAGTAGTAACAGAGAAGAGGGCTGAAGCATATATACAAGCTGTAAGAAAGGATTAGGACCCTGGCCGGTTTGGCTCAGCGGTTAGAGCGTCGGCCTGCGGGCCAGAGAGACCCGGGTTCAGTTCCCACTAAGGGCACGTACCTCGGTTGTAGTTTGTCCCCGGCCCTGGTTGGTTGTGTGGGCGGCAGCCACTCGATGTGTCCTTTTCACGTCGATGTTTCTCTCTATCTCTCTTCCTCTCTCTCCCTCCCACTCTATCTGAACATAAATGGAAGAAATGTCCTTATCCGAGGACAAAAAAAAAGGAGTAGGGTAGGAAGTAGGACAGAAGTAATTGACAGGAAGTTGAGAGAGAGGGAGTAAACATTTAGCCCCTTTATATACATAGTTTTTATGGCACCTTAGAATAAGTGTAATTACTAAAGTTTTTCATGTGAAAGGTAGATAATTTAGAAACATTTCATGTCCCTTTCATAAAAATCAGATTCCTTCAAAGTACCATCTGTTTTCATTCCTCCATCTTGATAGTACAGCCTTGAGAAAACCATCAGGAATTATTTTGGGGCCTGTCAATCACTCATTTCAACCCAATGAATCACTAAGTGAAATAAGAGTCCTATTTACCTTAACCTAACAGGGAGCCAGCGTGATTTTTTGGCCTGACACATTTGGTTTTGTTTGCAATTTTTCTACTAACAGAGCAAAATGGTTAAAAATACGCAGTACCAGAAGCCCTTCCATTGAAACAGAACAGTGTCAAACTCACAGAGGCTCCTCCTGGAGCCCTGAAACAGTGAGGGAAAATCGTAGCTCAGATTCTAATTGCCAGTTTGCTGAGGTTTCTTTTTTTTTTTGGTAGGTGCCCCTAGCGGGAACCAAACCTGAGACTCTCTGGTCTGCAGGCAGATGCTCCAACCGCTGAGCCAAACCGGCCAGGGCTGTTGAGGTTTTTTTAAAAGGCAGCATCCAGACAAGAACCTTCTCTGCATTTTGTTTTCTTAAATAAATTTTTCTCACTCCCATCGCTGGCACTAGAGTGCAAGTGACACGAGGACCAGCCTCAGCACAGGGATGGGGCCGAGAGCACGCTGGCCCTCATGCACACAGCAGACGAGAGGATCAGCAGGCATGCCGAGAGCAGAGCTGCTAGCAAGTCAGTGGAGTCATCTCTAGCGCCAGCTGAATGGGGTGCCCAAGTAACTTGTTCCTGGTGAGAAGCAGAGCAAAGGGGGATCTGAGGAAGAATGAGAAATGTTGGATTGTTCTGGAGAAGCCTAAATCCGTGCATGTCTACAAAAGAGGCAAATCTGAAATGCGACAACTTCTAGCAAGTACCTTAATTCATGAACCAGGTGTGCGGTAATTCTTGATCCAGATCCTCCCAATGGGTGACCCAAAGCAATGGCTCCTCCATTCACATTGGTTTTACTTGGGTCAAGCTGTAAAGTCTTCTCAACAGCCAAGTACTGGGGAGCAAAAGCTTCATTCACCTTTAAAACAATGGAAACACTGATAAAAATCCTTATTCACAACCTGATTTTTTTTTTAATCCTCACCCGAGGACATTTCTCCATTTTTTGTACAGATAGAGGGGGAGGGAGAGAGAGGAAGAGAGAGAGAGAGAGAGAAACATCGATGTGAAAGGAACACATCAAGTGGCTGCCACCCGCACGACCAACCAGGGCCGGGGACAAACTGCAACCGAAGTACGTGCCCTTAGCGGGAACCAAACCCGGGTCTCTCCGGACCGCAGGCCGACGCTCTAACCGCTGAGCCAAACCGGCCAGGGCATTCACAACCTGATTTTTAACTGAGAATTGTTCAGTCCCACTGATAGCTAATTTTGCTGTTTTGTTTTTTTTTCTATTTAAATTATCTCGCAAAGTTATTTTAATTTATCTTTAGTTGTTCATTGTAAAAATATCAGGTTTGAAAATGGCACTTTAAGTCAAATGCATCCCTTTGAGAAAAGAAGTCCTCAGTTATATAACAAATGAATACTAGAGGCAGTGGGATACTGTAGAGCCCATAGGTTCTGGGAGCTAGATGGACGGTTCAAATCTTGGCAGTATACATGTTCTTTGAACTCTCTTGACACTCCAGTTTCATCAACAGTAAAATGTGACTATAGTATCATCCTAAGGTTATTGTCAAGGTTAAGTTAAATCATGGGTATTAAGTGTCTAGTGTATTACCTGACACCTGACAAGTACAAAAAAATGCTTGCTTTATTATTATTATTACTCCCCAGTACTATTACCCATACTTCCAAGAAGAGACTGATAGAAAATAAGAAGTAAACCTTCAGAGCCAGATAGATAAGAGGAATGGTTACTACGTATGTTAAAATGTGGTAGAATTGGCCCAGGCCGGTTTGACTCAGTGGTTAGAGCGTCAGCCTGCGGTCGAGAGAGACCCGGGTTTGGTTCCTGCTAAGGGCACGTACCTCGGTTGCAGTTTGTCCCCGGCCCTGGCTGGGTCGTGCGGGTGGCAGCCACTCGATGTGTCCCTTTCATGTCGATGTTTCTCTCTCTCTCTCTCCCTCCCACTGTATCTGAACAAAAAATGAAAAAATGTCCTCGGGTGAGGATTAAAAAAAAAGTGTGGCACAACTGGAAAGTTATCATATTGTTGTACTATATTTAACAAGGCTGGCTACGAGAATGACCTTACTTCAAGTTTACAGCACTATATTTTCATATGATCTTAGCTGGGGAATTTTATAGATAAGAAAAGTGACTTTAAGAAAGGTAATTTACAGTCCTGGCCAGTTTGGCTCAGCGGTTAGAGCGGCGGCCTGTGGTCCTGAGACCCGGGTTCGGTTCCCGCTAAGGGCATGTACCATGTACCTCAGTTGCAGTTTGTCCCCGGCCCTGGTAGGTCGTGCGGGTGGCAGCCACTCGATGTGTCCCTTTCACATCGATGTTTCTCTCTCTCTCTCTCTCTGTTCCTCTCTCTCCCTCCCACTCTACCTGAACAAAAAAAATGGAAAAATGTCCTCGGGTGAGGATAAAAAAAAAAAAGAAAGGTAATTTATAGAGTTGGGGTCAAAACAGATTGTGTTCTTTCCTACTATATTTTGTGCTCTCCCAAGATGGTGCTCTATTTGTCCTTAGATTCAACGTTATTTTACCATTTTATAGTCAGGCTCAAGGAGGTATGGTAAAACCTCAATATAATGAACTAATTTGGACAAGGGGGTATCTGTTAAAGCCGAAAATCTGTTATATAATAGGTATTATAATAACTAGGTATTTCGAATGTATATGTTAAAAATTTGACAAATTAGTTTACCTGTTCTTACTTATGTAGATATGCTTGTGTAATTAAAATTAAGTATATATGAAAAGTTTAATTTTACAGAAGAGTTTTCTATATGTATTACAGTAATTTTATATTTAGACTGAATAGGTCTAGTAAATGCATGCATTCACCAGTCACCTCGAGTCAACAAATGCACAGGCTGGGGTATGGCTTATCGAACATGGGAACTTAGGCTGGCACGCATTAAGATTGCTGCAGAAAGTCATGCCACTCGATGACAAAACCAGTTACCCCTCAAGATTTGGTGTGATCATGTGCTAATCATCTGCTGAACATTGTTTATAAGTAGTGACTCTTGGATTTAAATATGCAGACTATAGTTGTAGACATGTAATATTTATTTATGTTGGCAAAATTACTCCAGTGTTTTTTCCAACAAATGGCCTATTTGCTAAAATTTGTCAAAAATAACAGTAAATTGCCCTGGCCGGTTTTGCTCAGTGGTTAGAGTGTTGGCCTGCAGTCTGGAGAGACCCGGGTTCAGTTCCCGCTAAGAGCACGTACCTCGGTTGCAGTTTGTCCCCGGCCCTGGTTGGTCGTGCGGGTGGCAGCTACTCGATGTGTCCCTTTCACATTGATGTTTCTCTCTCTCTCTCTCTCTCCCACTCTATCTGAACAAAAAATGGAAAAATGTCCTTGGGTGAGGATAAAAATAAATAACAGTAAATTAATCACAAAAAATAACCTGTTAATTTAATTAAAAGCAAATCTTGGTTAAAAGCATTTAAAAATTAACAGGTATTAATTTTCACATATAACACAGGGGCTGGAAATTTTGCCCATAGAATCTGAAATCTGTTAGTTAAATTGAGGGTTTACTGTACTAAGAGGCCTAGAATATGTAAAACTAGGCTTTTGAATCCAGGAAAAACTACATGATCATCAAATGTTCCAAAGAGAATCATGGTCTTGAGTACTTATACATAAGTGATTATGAATAGCTTGGCAGAGCTGATATATTTCAACAGGATTTTAAGTATGAAATTGAAAGTCAGAAATTTAGTGGTACCTATTTGCTAGTACAAATATAGTAATGAAGCAGCCCCCTTGAGGCTCTGAACTGTTGATTACTGCCTTTTGGGTGAGAGATTACCACAGAGGAAATCACACAAAGTGAAAAGGCCCTTTTGCTATTAATTTAAATAGAGAGGTTTTCTTTGTTACATTACCTTTTATTTAAAAAAAAATTTTTTCTTTATTAATTTTAGAGGGAGAGGGAGAGAGAGATAGAAACATTGATGAGAGAGAACATTGACTGGCTGCCTCCTGCATGCCCCCCCGCTGGGGATCAGGCCCACAACCTGGTTATGTGCCCTGACCAGGAATCAAACCGGCGACCTCTTGGTGCATGGGTCAATGCTCAACCACCGAGTAACACCAGCTGGCTATCTTTGTTATATTATTTACCAATCAACGTCAAGCAGCATATACATAGTTATTTAAAATTTTCAAATGCTCCCCAAATGTATTTTCTTCTTTTAATTGTGCTAAATACTTAAGATGCCTTTGTTCTAAACCAACATTAAAAAAAAAAATCACTCTACCAATAAATTTAAGTTCCTAAATTATTAAACTTTTCCTAAAAATTATGATTGCTGTATCCCAAATTGAGCTACAATGAAAAGCCAAGGTAAATTTCAGAGGGTAGAAGGGTATCTTAACTTGGGGGGGGGGCACAAGAAATTTCTATATGTGGCACCAGATATTGGTTTTCTATTAGGTCAATTCTTTACTTGTATTTTTCACTTTAATCCATAAACTAGGGTTAAAGTTACTTATTTCTTCCCCACTTGATAAAAAATCATTTAAATTCAACAAATACATTAACAGTCTAAAATGTAATAGAGTCTTATAAGGTCCTAATATTTTTTCAGGAATTTATACTTTAGTAGGGAAGTCAGGCTGTTTTAATTATTCACATAAATATCAAACATTTTAATCAGGTGAGAAAAAGTACCAACATAAACCTTGTGATGAAAGTGATATTCACTTGGATGTGCATCATTTAGTTTATTTTTTATTTTTAATATGATTTTATTCATTTTTGAGAGAGAGGGAGAGACAGAAACATTGATATGAGAGAGAAGCATCAATCGGCTGCCTCCTGCACGCCCTCTACTGGGGATCAAGCACACAACCTGGGCATGTGCCCTGACTGGGAATCGAACCAAGATCTCTCAGTCCATGGGACTACACTCAATTCACTGAGCTACACTGGCCGGGCAGGTGAGCATCATTTGAAAGGCTAATAGCACTAAGGCAAGAAGAGCTACAAAATACCAGACTGAAGTCATTTATGCTACAGAAGTTGGTGCTTTATTTATGTTGTAAAATAGCAGCACATTTACCTCTACCAAATCCATGTCCTTAAGACTCAGTCCTGCTTTCTTTAGTGCCCCATTGATAGCAGGGACAGGACCTATATTAGGAAAAAAAATCAATTTCATCTTGTATTTATTTATGCAACACATTTTTCCATCTTTACTAAACAGGTAATGTGACAGTTGGTAGTAGCTATAAATCTTGTTATCTTCAAAACACACTATGAAATGATGTAACAATAAAGAAACAATGAAACTTACGTTCACTGCAGTATTATTTACAATAGCCAAGGTATGGAAGCAGTTGATGAGTGGATAAAGAAGCTGTGGTACATTTACACAATGGAACACTACTCAGCCATAAAAAACAAGGAAATCTGGCATGGATGGGCCTCAAGAGCATTATGCTAAGTGAAACAAGCCAGTCAGAGAAAGATAAGTACTGTATGATTGCACTCAAATGTGGACTCTAACGAACAAAATGAACTATCAAGCAAAACAGAAACAGACTCATACACAGAGAGCAGACTTACAGCTGTTGGGGGTCGGTGGGGAGGTTAGGGGGCTGGGTGGGGAGGGGTGGAGGGATTGAGTAAAAAAAAGAGCCCTGGCCAGTGTTGCTCAGTGGTTAGAGCATTGGCCCCGAGCACCAAAGGGTCTCAGGTTCGATTCCAGGTCAAGGGCATGTACCTGGGTTACAGGTTAATTCCCCAGCAAGCCCTGGTCCAGGCGCATGCAGAAGGCAACCAACTCTGTCTTCCTCCTTCCCTTTCTTCCCTCCTTCCCTTCCACTCTCTCTAAAAATCAATGGAAAAAAATATCCTCAGATGAGGGTTAAAAAAAAAAGAAAGAACTCACAGACATGGACAACAGTGTGGGGACTCCCGGGAGAACTGGGGTGGGATTGCTGGAGGAGGGGATGGGGAGATAAACAGATTTGACTTGAGGTGTGAACACACAGTACAGTGCACAGAGGTGGTGGAATTGGGCACCTGAAACCTGTATAATTCTGTTAGCCAGTGTCACCTCAATAAAGTCAATAAAAAGGGGAGGATGACACCAAGGTGAACAGCTGTTTTATGCAAATTGTAGATGAGAGACTTACATGAAAAAGTCTACCAAAGGGGTCGTATGTGGGGTTTTGCAGTCATTTATAGATCACACTTAAGACCAAAAGGCAAGGCAGACTGAATGCTCTCCTGGAATACAAATCACACGCATTCTTACTACAGAAGTGATCATGCCTACATTGAATTTTCAGGCCCATTTGGGCAATAGAGAAGAGATAGCAGCAGCCTCTCCACAGGCATTGCAAGAAAGGAAGCTACGAGGTATTTAGACGTCTGAGGCATGGAGAGTTTATAACTCCAACAGCAGGCAGAGAATTTAAATAAAACATAACCCCACTGAAGAAATATAAATCTACATAATAAAACTTTAGCTACCAGATTTCTCATGATCACCAATGACAGTTTAATATTGCTCATAATGTTAAAGTAAATTTATTTTTTCCCCCGAAAGACAAAAAATCTGGCTAGGGACAAGTATCTACTTATCTGTTCTAAAAGAATAAAACTGCCATATATGTCTAAAAAGAAAAACATATGCCAGCTATGTTCTGTTGAATTCAAGTGGTCAGATATTCTGCAACAAGCTTCACAAATATGGCCAAGGTAAAGCTGGGAAATCAGCCTTTACAAGAAAAGCATAATGCAATGTAAATACAATGTAATTTATTTTGTCAACTAATTAAAACGTTCTTTATACAACAGTCTGTTCATTGGTAGGGCCATGTTTTTTAACATAAAGCATCAGTTCTGTGCGGGCTACTGATTTAATACAGAATCTAATCCAGGTTCTCCGTGTATCTCTAAGGCATGAAAATGCAGTGGACGGTCAGTAGTAGAGCATCAGCTCTCCAGCATGGTCGGGGGATGAAGTATCCCACAGGGTGAGAGCGGAGGGAGTAAAACCACTGCACACACTTCCTTGTCTTCATAACCTAAGTAAGTGTGACTCAATGTGTTCATGTGAACTCAGAATTGTTACAGGCAGTTTTAACAATATGCTAGATCACAACTTGATTTTTAAAGGCCTGTTCCCATACCACTCTGTTATTTACTGGGACTCAAGAAGGTATAGCATTCTTGTCACCCCTGCTGATCACCAGAGTTAATCTGGCTGATCTGGCTGGCTAGGTGGGGGTCCCCTTCCTCCCTCACCGCTCCATGTGCATCCCTCCCGAAGCGGCGCAGTCGGCCGAAGAGAACGACTTTCCCTGACAGAGGAGGACCGGTCTTTGGTCAAGGGCATACGAGCAACTGCGCTCCCTGCTGGCACCTCCACACAAGCTCTCAAGGGCCACCTGTAGGAGAATGTGGGGCAGCCACGCTGCCACGACTCCAGCCACATCCAAATGAGGCACTGCACATGGCAGTCTGCCTTTCTTAAAAATAAAAAGTAAATTAATTTAAAGAAACTTACAAATAAATAAATAAAATTTAGTAACATTAGTGGTTCCTAGGAGTGCATTCAGCAAAAAAGCTTTTTGTCCTACTTCTAGTCAACTTTTCCAGCTAAGACTATATGTACATGCTTGTAGAGAGCTACAAATCTCCTGCCAGGACTTTACCCATTGATACTGTTATTAACTCTTCATTTTCCTATTAAGCCTCGGCTGAGACAGGTGATCATTACTCTGACTTCTACAGACAACAGTGAAAACAACACCTGACTTAGAGACCTAGACTCACCCCTGGCTCTGTGGTTGGAGCTGTGTAAGACAACCTCCCTGAGCCTCAGTTTTCTCATCCACAAAGATGTCTCAAAGATTAAATGAGATACATTAAGGACCACGGGCAAAACACCTGACAGGACGTTCATCTGCTCATACAGCCTCCTCTATTTCGCCCCATGATTTCTCCCATCTCCCATTTCTTTTTATCTTATCAGTACCTTGTAATGCTTCCCTCTTATTTTCTGTCCATTTTAAATATCACAAATGAACAATCAGACATGATTACTGCCCATGAGGAGTTTACACGGTCTTGGTTTTCTTACTGAGACTAACACAGTTGTTCATAAAGATTGGTTGTTTAAAAGACTGATTACCAATCTCCTTTTCTCTACAAGCGACCTTGATTTGATACAGTTTTTGGAATCAGAATGCCAAAGAAGCCGTATCTCCAAAAATATAACAGAACCAGTTTATATAACTACAAACTTACCAATACCCATGATAGAGGGATCACATCCAGACACAAAATAGCCCACAATTCTCGCCAGGGGTGTGAAGTTGTGTTTTTTAACAGCATCTTCACTAGCTATGATAACAGCTCCAGCACCATCAGACACCCCCTTGGAAACAAAAACAGAAGATTAACTAGAGGGTAAAGAATCCAGTTAATCAAGGTTTGAACTAATGGAGCAGTATTACGGCACTACGTAGGAAGCAGTGCTGGAACCTCTGCTGGTGGTATAAATGCACCAGGGTAAATCTTTACGAGACAAGCAGAAATGCACAGAAATATGAGGAATACACTTTCCAAGGCACACAGAGTCACAGGCTATCTGTGGAAAGAGACAAATGTTCGGGTACTCTGGTGGATTAAAGAGATTGTTTTAGGCACAGAAAACAACTTCCTCGCTAAGAGAAAATAGGAAAGAATGCCAAGGAAAAGTTTAAATCCAGATGTGGGTAGATACTAGAAGAAATCTGATGAATTGTACACAAGAGAAAGAAAACAAGTATGAACACTGAAAATAAACCAGGTAGATAGATTCCCTTCTAATATTCTGAAGAGACTATGGAATGGAAAGTATTATATAAGGCCCCTACCTAAAATATTTTGAACTATAAAAACCCAAATTAACAGAATATGGACTCATTAGTTTAAGCTAAATAACTAAAGACTAGTATAACAAGTATCTAAAAGATAGCATGATTATCTTGCATCCAACACATCAGGAAGAGTTCAAGATAAGCTGGGATGCTACCTACCGATGCGTTCCCCGCAGTAACGGTTCCTTCTTTCTTGAATACTGCAGGGAGTTTACTTAACTGTTCCAGGGTTGTTTGGGGCCGAGCATGCTCATCTACTTGCATTGTCTGTTTTCCTTTCTTTGTCTTCACCTCAATTGGTACCATCTCATTATTAAAGTAGCCAGCATCATTAGCTAAAATAGTTGAAGGAATATCGTAAGAATGAGAAATAAAGAGAACAAACAAGAAACTAAATCAAGCATATCCTTCAATTTAATTTCTGGTCTTTCCTCACAGACTACTTAAATATGAGCCTTTATTACTTATATAACTTACCTTGCCTATTGGAGGATATACTATACTGTCATGCTTCTATGCAGATGAATTCTGCACCTTTTTAAAACTTAAGATTTTCTTTTGGTTAACTACAATTATTTTTACAAGGTATTGCTGGAATCGTAGCAGTATTTGTCTGTTAGCTACATGTGTAATGACACTAAATGGATTTAATGCCCCTTTTTAAACTTCTCTGGGTGAGATAAGAAGTAATTAAAAAGCTACCAAGTTGTAAAACAATAATGTATCACACACTTAAAAGTTTAAGAGGGCAGCTCTGGCTGGTTTTGCTCAGTGGTTAGAGCATTGGCCCATGGACCAGGGAGTCCCGGTTTAGTTCCGCTAAGGGCACGTACCACGGTTGTAGTTTGTCCCCGGCCCCAGTTGGGGTCGTGTGGGTGGCAACCACTCGATGTGTCTCTCTCACATCGATGTTTCTCTCTCTCTCTCTCTTCCCCCGTCTCCCTCCCACTCTATCTGAAGATAAATGCAAAAATGTCCTCAGGTGAGGATAATAAAAAAGTTTAAGAGGGCAGATCTCATGTTTAGGTGTTCTTAGTACTATAAGAAAGAAAAGTTACAAAGTTTCCTATGTCACCAAGTAATCTATGCCTGAAATTTAATTATAATCAACCTGAAGAAGTTATATGAGTGATTACTGCCATAGCTCTAATAAAACAGCTTATCTATTTCCATCACCACTGACTAGAGTGGACTACAGTAATCCAAATCTTGAAAAATAGGATATGTGAGGAATAATACCACCTGAATTTTTTTTTTTTTAATTCTCACTCGAGGATATTCTTCCGTTTATCTTCAGACAGAGTGAGAGGGAGGGAGGAGGAGGAGGAGAGAGAGAGAAACATCAATGTAAGAGAGACACAATGATTGGTTACCTCCCAAATGACCCTGACTAGGGCTGGGGACCAAACTGCAACCGAGGTCTGTGCCCTTGACCTGAACCGAACCCGTGACTGTGGTTCGTGGGCCAATGCTCTAACCACTGAGCAAAACTGGCCAGGGTGCCACCTTAATTTTGATAATGCTTTACAGCAAGCTAAACATTTCCCTTGATTGGATTTCACAACAACTCTATTAAGGAAATAGAGAAGGCAAATATTTTTTATCTCTATTATTAGAAGTACATATTTATCTTTATTTTATAGATGCTCAATGAATGACTGAGGTTTGATAACAAATGTGGCAAAACTAGAAATAGAATTAATAACTCTTTCTAGATGGATACCCTTGCATTTTAAACATGTAACTAAAAAACTCAGATGAGTTGGGTAGCCTCGGCTCCATTCCACTTATCCCTCTGAAAGGCTAAGATAGACTTTATCCTCACTATTCCAAGTAAATATTTAATACCCTAAATAAGAATTTCCATTTGTTTATAAGTTTAATATTTAAAATCTTTTTCAGAAGACTAACAGATTTCTTCAACTTGCCATACTGATAGAAGAAGTTCTGTCTGCTGCTCGTTCTGAACTTGCTAACCAGCAGTGTGCAGTGGTACACAGGGCACCAGAGCTGGGGCCCTGGACTCGTTCTAAGTCTCTGAATCAGGCACAATGATTCTCAATTAGGAATGGGAGAGGGGGCAGCATAAAAGGATACCCAATGGGTCCTTTCCAAACATATCATTCCCTCTTTGTGAATATAATATGCCTTACAGAGGAGGGCATCCCCTCTGTCCCGGTAACCCCGGTGAGCCATCTTCTCTATTACGAGTGTATCACAGCTCCCAGGGGGTTCTACTGGCAACAGTACTAGTAAGGGTAGGACCAATGAACAATACCACTTTTTAACTAGTATTAACATATATCCAAAGAGAAGTTCCCAGTTAATTTTGTAATTGTTAATCAAATATCTAATCATCTAAAAACAAATAATGATATTTTAAAAAGTGACTTTCAAAAGGTATAATTTTAAACTAATATTATTATATGATTATTATCTGAAATGATAAAAATCTTTCCTATAGGTTTTTTTTCTAATGGAGGTATAATTGACATATACCATTCATTATATTAGTTTCAAGTATACAACATAATAATTTGATATTTGTATATATTGCAAAATGATCACCACAATAGTATCTGTCACCAAGAGGAAGTTACAAGCTTTTTATTCTTGTGATGAGAACCTTTAAGATCTACTCTCAAATATGCAATACGGTATTATTAACTATAGTCATCATGCAGTACATTATATACCCAGGACTTATTTTATAATTGAAAGTTTGTACTTTTTGACTCCCTCTTCATCCATTTCACCTATACCTCCACCCCTCTATTTTTTTTTTTTTTCCCTCTCTGAATATTTATAATATTCAATTTCACTGACCAGCTTTCCACCTCTGCTGTGACTGCAGGGCATACTTGTCACAGTCTTCTCTGCTTATCTTATGTTTTGAAGCAAGATTCTCTGCAGTAATTCCCATGGGGAGTTGGACATGCTGATCTGTTAATCCTGCCCACAAAGTATCTTCCAGCTATTAAAAGACATTAATAATAAAGTGATTTGTTAAAGCATAGCTTTTGAAAGTAATATAACTTCTTTAAATTTAAATAATTTAAATAGTCAAAACAAATAAAAATAAAATTAGATTTTCTGATAGCATTACTATTACTACTATTCATATTCGGTTCTAGGATATTTAAAAGAAACATCCAATGACATAATAAAATGACACATTCTTCCCTCTTTCTAAATGTGGGGGTCTGAAGAGAGCTGACAATGCTAAATGTGCAGGATGAGAACACAGGAGGTTATTCCACACAGTCAAATCCCTCAAGGTTACATCTTATAAGAAACCTAACACTGAGTCCTTATACAATGTTTCTCTGTAGCCACCTTTGTAAACCACAGTTAAGAGCTCTGTAGGAAATAGTCTTCTGTGCTCTTTCATCCTGTGCCTTCAAGTGATAGGGACAGCTGAGGCTGTCAGTTACTATGAAGTTGAAAAGAACAGAAAAAGTTGTTACTTTTTATCCAATTAGTTGGTCTGTAATAAGTGTGCCCAACCTGTTTCTTCTCACCTTTTGAGTCTCTGACTTATCTTTCCAAAGGTTTTCTCAAATACATGTGGTTTCTAAAACTATCTCATCCTTTCTAAGTCTTATTTCTTTCCACTTTCGAAAAGGCCAGGTGAGAATCTGGATGAACGGTGTAAACCAAACATTACAACGGAAAAACATCATAGGGGAAGGACAGCACACTGTCTGTCACTCTTTACCAGTACCATCATTCTCATGTTGCATCTCTCAAAGGTGGAAGGATCAGTTTTTTCTGACTGATATGGGCCGATACTCTCTATTCAAAAAGAATGTTTTCTGTGATGAAGGAGAAATCTATTCAATGGCGACTGCTCCAGAGATAAAACTTCCATAAATCATGGTAAAGATTTAATTATTTGGTTTACTAATTATTCAGTAGAGCATAATTCAACCTTTGCCTATCCTTTTGATCTGCTTCTTCCCTTCCTTCATTTCCCCAAGTGTTAATTCCACCACCAGAGGTGGGCTAAGATGCTAAGATAGTGTCTAATTTTATGTGGATTAAAATGCCAAAACTAATGACCAAAACAGGGTTTTGAAATAGTTTACAAAATTCAAATGATTCATATCTTGCCAATCCCCTATTAACAAAATTGGTTTCAAAAAATTAGTTTTCTCTTTCCCAAAATGGTGTTATTACAATCATTAGTATAACAGCTTGAGAAATAATTAAAAAAATTTTAACCTTGAGGTCTGATCCAAACTTGGTTCCAAAACGCACATTTCTGGCACAGTAGGGAGCCTGGCTCATGCTTTCAGTTCCTCCACACAAGACAACTTCAGCATCTTTAACACCAATTTCCTATTTAAAAACAAATGAACAATAACAACAAAACCCTTTTATTGTGACGGAACTGCATTTTAAAAAGTGTGTGTTAAGCAATAAGCTTATATTAAGTCTAATAAGTAACTATCCTGGCTTACAGTGTTTCAAATGGAAATACTTTAAAGTAAGTTTAAAGCAAATGATAAAGTATCCATTCCCAAAATACAAGGGGGAAAAAAACCTACCAGTCTTCAATCATTTGTGCAAAACTAACAAATCCTACCTACTTTTTGGTGAGGAATGGTAATTCTTAACTCAATAAAAATCTTAAAATTCAGCAGAGAGAGATACTGTCTGGCTGAAATGTACAGATTGCCAGCAGATAAGAACGAACCCTTACAAAGGTGAAAGTAAAATTTATCCTTGATGGATGGATCTGAAGGAGACCACAGATTTACAAGATCCAAGCTAACCTAGGGGACTCATTTCACTGTAGGCCTTTTCCCTGTGCTCAAGGGAACACATCGATTTCCCAATTACCCCTTAAAAAGATTATAGTAGTTGTACCTCTACCAACAGTATTACTTAGTTCCTTTTTCTTTTTTAAATCCTCACCTGAGGATATTTTTCCATTTATCTTCAGATAGAGTGGGAGGAAGGGAGGGGGAGAAGAAGGGTGGAGAAGGAGGGAGGGAGAGGGGGGAGAAGGGGGGAAGAGAGAGAGAGAGAGAAAGAGAGAGAGAGAGAGAGGCATATCGATGTGAAAGACACATTAGTTGGCTGCCTCCCGCACAGCCTCGACCAGGACCAGGGACTGAACCACAACCAAGGTACATGCCCTTGACCGGAATCGACTGCAACTCTTTGTTCTTCAGAACAACGCTCTAACTGCTGAGCCAAACTGGCCAGAACATCCTTTTCATAACATATATTTCTTCTCATTCCCCTAAATTCTCCAAGTCTCTTCCTAGTCGTACAGTGTTTATTCAGTGTTTCAAACTGCCTCACAGAAATGGGTTTAAATTCTGCCTCTAAGACTTAGTAACCTCAATGCCTTTAATAACCAGTTTCATTGCCTATAAAATGGGAATAAAAGTAGTTCTTGCTACATAGGATGGTTATGAAGATTAAGTGGGGTACTGAATGTAAATCCAGCATGCCGTCTAGTACATAGGAAGCCCTTAATAAAAATGTGTCATGATTAGCTTCTTTAAAAGTTGTGATTAAATATACGTACCGTAAAATTTACCACTTTAGCCGATTGTAAATGTACAGTTCATTAAGGACATTCACATGATTGTGTAACTACCAACCATCTCCAGAAATCTTTTCATCTTCCCAGACTGAAACTCTGCATCCATCCCCATCCCCTCCTCTCTCCTGGCAGCCACCATTCTACTTTCGGTCTCTATGACTCCGACTACTATAAGTACCTCTTTTTTTTTATTTTTATCCTCACCCGAGGACATTTTTCCATTTTTTGTTCATGTAGAGTGGGAGGGAGAGAGAGAGAGAGAGAGAGAAACATCGATGTGAAAGGGACACATCGAGTGGCTGCCACCCGCACGACCAACCAGGCCGGGGACAAACTGCAACCGAGGTACATGCCCTTAGCGGGAACCGAACCCGGGTCTCTCAGGACCGCAGGCTGATGCTCTAACTGCTGAGCCAAACCGGCCAGGGCTAAATACCTCTTTTAAGTGGAATCATACAGTGTTTGTCCTTTTGTGACTGGTTTATTCCATTTAGTATAATTGCTTCCAAATTCATTATTAGCTTTTAAGAAATGACTTGCTTCCTGCAAATATTTTTCCAAATATCAAATACTGACCTCTCTTAATAAGCATTTAAAATAAAAGCATATAGTGTTATATTAAGATGGGGCATTTTCTCATTTAGTAGCTTTTAACATATTTCAGGGAATTAAATACAATGTTGCTCATACCTGACATCCACTCACAATAGACTGGAAACCGGAGCCACAGAGCCTGTTGAGAGTGAGAGCTGGGGTCTCTTTTGGGACACCCACCCGCAAACCAACATGCCTTGCCAAGTATGCAGCATCCGAAGAACTCTGGAGCCGAGGGGAAAGAGAAAGAACATCCACTGTAAATCTAGAAATTAAGGACAAAATATATGGAAACACTGGCACTCTGTCAAAAATTATAAACTACATGGCTCTAAGGTAGGACACAGTGCACACAGGTACAGCATATTTCATACAATACATGTGCTTATGATTTAAATAAAAACTAAGTGCAAGAGTAATGATGCTGGCAATTCAGATATGCAAAGAGAAGCCGCAAAGTGCTTCCTTTAAGGAAAAAAGTGAAAGTTTTTGACTTAATAAGAAAAACAATCATATGCTGAAGCTGCTAAAACCTCCTACAGTAAAAACAAATCTTCTATCCATAAAACTGCCTAATTTATAAATTAAACTTTATCATAGGTGTATCTGTATAGGAAAAATACACAGTATGTGTATGTAGGGTTCAGTATTATCTGCAGTTTCAGGCATCCACTGAGGGTCTTGGAACACAGCCCCTGGGAATAACAGGGGCCACTGTACTTTTTAATTTTATTTTTATTGAATTTATTGGGGTAACATTGGTTAATAAAATTATATAGATTTCAAGTGTATAATTCTATAATACATCATCTGTATGTTGTATTGTGTATTCACCACCCCAAGTCATGTCTCTTTCCATCACCATTTATCCCCCCTACCTCCCTCCACCCCTCTTTCCCTCTGGTAATTACCATACTGTTGTCTGTGTCTATGAGGGTTTTTTTTTTTTTTTTTTGGCTTAATCTCTTCACCTTTTCACCCAGCCGCTATCCCCTCCCCTCTGACTGCTGTCAGTCTGTTCTCTGTATTGATGAGTCTGCTTCTATTTTGTTTGTTAGTTAATTTTGTTCATTAGATTCCAAATATAAGTGAACCCGGGGCTGAGCCCTGCTGACCTACGGAGGGCAGAGATGAACAACTGGTCAGGAGAGTAAGAGGTGCCTCCCACACTAAAAAATGCACACTGGGGCTTTTGTGAAAATGCGGGTTGTCGTAGGTCTGTGACTACACAAAATTCTGCATTTCTAGACATTTCCTCAGTCTGAAACAATGTGCTGGTCCAAGGACCACATTTTGAATAAGGAAAATAAATAACTTCAAAAAACAAAAACACAAATAAATGAGATGATGTGATATTTGTCTTTCTCTGATTGGCTTGTTTTGCTTAGGATAATATTCTCCAGGTCCTTCCATGTCTTAAAGGATAAGAGATCTTTCTTTCTTACAGCTGCATAGTACTCCATTGTGTATATGTACCACAGCTTTTTATCCACTCATCTATTGATGGACACTTGGGCTGTTTCCAGATCTTAGCTATTGTAAATAGTGCTGCTATGAACAGAGGGGTACACATATTCTTTCTGATTGATGTTTCAGGCGTCTTAGGGTATAGTCCTAGAGGAAACACCATATTGTTTTCTTTCCTTTTTATCCTCACTCAAGGACATTTTTCCATTTTTTGTTCAGATAGAGTGGGAGGGAGGGAGAGAGAGAGAAACATCGATGCGAAAGGGACACATTGAGTGGCTGCCACCCGCACAACCCAACCAGGGCCGGGGACAAGCTGCAACCGAGGTACGTGCCCTTAGCAGGAACCGAATCGGGTCTCTCTGGACCGCAGGCTGACACTCTAACCGCTGAGCCAAACCGGCCAGGGCAACACCATATTGTTTTCCATAGTGGCTATACCAGTCTGCATTCCCACCAGCAGTGTACTAGAGTTCCATTTCTCTACACCCTTGCCAGCAATTGTTGTTTGAACAAAATAAGCTCAGAAACAAAATAGACCCAGAGACACGGAAGTGGGGTGCAGACTGACAAACCTCAGAAGAGGTAGATTGGGGGGAGAGAAGAGATAAACCACAGAACTTATATGCATGTATGTGTAAACAAGGACATAGACAATAATGCTGGGGTGGGCGGGATGGGGTGGAGGGTGTCAACAGGTGAAAAAGGAGAAACAACCCTGGCCAGTTTGGCTCAGCGGTTAGAGCGTTGGCCTGCAGTCCAGAGAGACCTGGGTTTGGTTCCTGCTAAGGGCGCGTACCTCGGTTGCAGTTTGTCCCCAGCCCTGGTTGGTCATGTGGGTGGCAACCACTTGATGTGTCCCTTTCACGTCGATGTTTCTCTCTCTCCCTCTTCCTCTCTCTCCCTCCCACTCTATCTGAACAAAAAAATGGAGAAATGTCCTCGGGTGAGGACAAAAAAAAAAGGAGAAACATCTGTAACAAAAATAAACATTAAAAACAAAACAAAATAACAATAGCATTTACTGTAGAGAGAGCTAAAGCAAATTTGATAAAATGTGAAGAATTGGCCCATCCAGGTAAAAAGGCTTTATGGTGATCACTGTCTTCTTATTCATATTATTATGATTATTATTACTATTATTTTCATTCCTCACTCGAGGATACTTTTCTATCCATCATCAGATAAAGTGGGAGGGAGGGAAAGACAGAGAGAAACATCTACATGATAGAGCCACATGGACTGGTTGCCTCCCGCACGACCAGACCAGGGCCAGGGATGAGCTGCAACCAGTAAGTGCCTGTGACTAGAATCGAACCCGTGATTAATTGGTTCGCAGGCTGACGCTCTAACCGCTAAGCCAAACTGGCCAGGGCATTATTATTATTATTTTTAATCCTTACCTGTGGATGTTTTTATTGATTTTAGAGAGAGAGGAAGGGAGAAGGAAAGACAGAGAAAGAAATATCGATGGGTTGCCTCCTGTATGTGCCCTGACTGGGGATCAAAACCACGACACTTTGGTGAATGGGACGATGATGCTCCAACCAGCTGAGCCACACAGGCCAGGGTTGTCCTATATTTTTAAAATTTTTTTGCTTGGATTGCTATACTCCTTAAGTGGGTAGAGAGAGAGAGAATCAATTAACTTCAAATAAGTCAAGGAAATTAGTGTATTTAGAAACAATAAATAAAACCATTTTGTTCTACATCTAAAACTAATACAATTATATCTCAATACAACTGGAGGGAAAAAACCCCAAGAAACTAAGAAGCAATGAAATGCATCCCAAATTAAACAGATATATAGTTCCCAGAACATATGCTCCTTTGAGTTATGCATGTCATTGCTTCTGGACTCCAGAGGATTACTCAAATTATAAACACCTCTAACTATTAACTGATTCACCATTATGACATGTCAAAGGAATTACTTTTAGAAATTGATAAAATAAAGCAACAGGAATGAATACTTTCCTCTGCCCGACTAACCTGCATGACATTGCCTACAATGACACTGTCAACAGTCTCAGGTGGTACTTTGCCTGCAGACAAGGCAGCCCTGGCAGCAAATTCAGTCAAGTCGGTGGCTGTGAAGTCTTTCAGAAGACCTCCATAAGCTCCAAAGGGTGTTCGCTTAGCAGCAACGATGAACACACCTATTGCAATGAGGAGAGATTTGTAAGCAATCCCAGATTAGTCAGTGTCCTTTAACATGTTTTAAATAATCTCACTGTGATATATTACTGTAAAGTATAATTTTCAATTAGATAACTGAACATCTTTGCATACACTGTCTCCCCCAAACAATCTGAGCACTCATTTCCACATCTTGTCAAGAAACTATGGACTGCCCTGCAGGTGGCTCAGATGGTTGGAGTGTCGCCCGTGCACAGAAAGGTTGCAGGTTTAATCTACAGTCCAGGTGAGTATAGGAGGCAGCTGACTGATGTTTCTCTTTCTCTCTCTCTCCTCCTACCTCTCTTTCTAAAAAACACACAGAACTTTAAATAATGGATTTGTGCCCAAATACTGACATGTAATTGAGACCACTCAAATATTATACCACTACTGGTATCTAAGTATAATCCCTGTTTATGCTAGTGATCTCTTTCCATGGAACAAACTAAACTTACCCTAAAAAAAAAAAAAATCTCGGCTTCTCCTTTCATTCCAGTTGAGAAATTTACAGTCCAAGAGTGGAAGAACTCTCTTGTATAATTTAGAAGAGATCCAGTTCTTTACAGATATAATATTCAGATGCTGATAAGAGGTCATATTAGTTTGGTGCATTATGGAGACAGTAAAAAGATCAGTGGTTACTAGAGGGTGGGAGGGAGGAAATGAGGGAAGAATAGGTGAGCACAGAGGAATTTTAGGACAGTGAGACTACTCTTTATGATACTTAATGGTAGATACTTGTCATTATATACATTTGTCAAAACCCATAGAACTGTACAACACAAAAAGTGAAACTTAATGTAAATAACGGACTTCAGGTGATATTATCAGTACTCTAGTGGCTCATCAATTGAAACAAATGCACCACACTAATTGTTAAGTGAAATGAGTCTAGTACTTAAAGTGATTGAAGTGAACCCTTATCACCTGAAGGGAATATTCTTGCATAGATAAGTGGACCTATTACCTTGTTTACTGCTTTGGAGTACACAGCTCTTACTAAGCCAGGGCCACGTGGCTACAAGCCACCTGTGAAAGCTCGGCCACTTGGCTATGCAGAACAAGCCCCACCCCTTTCTTGGGTGTGGAGATCTATCATCTCGCTGCTACTGTGGCTTCTGTCAAGACTTGGCTTCTATTGGTAAGTTCCCTTACACTGGATGTAATTTGGGAGTTGTTAGTCTCTTTCTTCAGGAAAATTTCCCCAAATACAAGATGTTAAAAATAGGAGATACTAGGGTGGGATGAAGGGGTATATGACCATTGACTTTTCAGAAACAATGAAGACTAATTTCATGTTTCTCTATAAATTTCTTTTCGTGAGTTTCTCCCTGTACTTCATAATCTAAGAGAGCATTTTTGTGGGGGAAGTACTGCTAATGGTGAAATACGAGCTATCTACAAAGAGTGAGTGTGGAGACATACAAACAAAAGCAAGAATTTTCCCTCTAGTTACATCATTTCTGCCTCTTTGTGCTTCCAGATGCAAAGGTTATCTTGAGTAAGGCTAATACCGAGATACAATTATTTTGAATGAGGTAGTGCTACTAAATATATATTTTTAATAATCTGGATGTGTAGGTATAAAGACTAGACAATTTAAAGGATTTTTTCTTGTAATTTCATAAACTGCATATCATGTCAATAATTATTGGATCGGGTGCCAATTTTATGTGGCTGTTAAAAGGTCTAAAACAATCTTTAACACCAAAATAAAATCTTGTTCATTTTAAGAAGCCTTGAAAATGCAGAAGCTAAAGATTTCCAAAAACGGAAAGACAGTGAAAAGACATTAATCTAGAGTCCAGTGAGTCAGAAATGCCAAGAAAAGGTCTGATAAGGTGGCTGATGTGACTGGAGAGAAAAACAACTGGAAGAAAAGCAGGAATTCTGCCTGCTTTTTTATCACATTGTTAGAAAAAGACAGACTGGTCATTAGCAACTACAGACAGCAACTAAGACAATGAAGGAAAACTGCTGCTTACTGCATCTATTTTGGTTTCAGGATTCAAGTAATTTGGCAGTATGCCTAACCACCTTGAATAGCTACACAACCATTCCCAACAAAGCTAATGAGCAGTAAGGAACCTGTATTTGTTGTGTGCAACTCTCCTACAAAACACTGGGAGGTGTGTAAAAAACTGGGGGATTGGTTCTTGTTGACAGAAATCTGATAAATTAATGACAGTCTTTACCAAAGTCAATCATTCTCACATTCAAATGTCTTTTTTCCCTACAGTAAGCAGTCTCGTGTTCTCTCTTATCCACTAGTCCTGGAAGACCTGTTATGCTACTTGAGAGACGTGATATCTAACTAGCCAATAACAATTTTGCTATTTGAAGCTTAAGGCTTGAGTTGTAGTCATAGCCAGTAATTACCTGTGTCATTTATAGACAAGCTATTTTACCTGCTGGACATCAGTGTCCTCATCCGTGTAAAATAGGGAAAGGGGTAAAAAATACAATCACTAGCTCTAATACCATAGTACTCTGTATCACAAATTTACACACTTTATACTTCCTTAATACAGGTAGGTGTTGATGTACATTATTTCCCCCTACTGGGTTCATAGTTTTCATCAAATGATCAAAGGGGTCTGTATTATAAGAAAAGGGTAAGAAACCACTGATACAATGTTAAACAGAAATCATAAAAAGATTTTCTTTTTGAAATGCTTATTACAATGTTGCTTTCCAATGAATTGGGTTTTTTGAACACCTTGTCTAAAAAAAAAAAGTGCTGTTTATTAAATATAGTCAATTCAGAGTTGGAAAAAGCACTGACAAGTTAAATCCAATTGTAGGAAACAGGATACACTACATTTGTCTTGGAATATCTATTTTTCACTTGAACTGTTCACATGCCATTTGGGCTTTTCTGAGCTCCAGATGCCGACCTGATATCTCCACTTGAGTGCCTCAACATCCTCTTCCAAATCTATTCTTTCTCCAGCTTGCCTCACTCTGTAAGTGCTACCATTATGTACACAATTCTTCAAACATGAAGAGTGGAGATCAGATCCTGTCTCTCCTACTTGAAAGTTTGATATTGCCTTCCACTGAATTTAGAATAAAACCTCACGTCTTCAAGTTTCACAGAGGCCACAGTGCTCTGACCACCAGAATGTTGGTTTGTAGATCCTGCCAAGAGTTTTCCTGCCTTGGGGCGCTGATATAAAATGTTCTACCTGCATGTTCTTTAAAGGGCTCATAATGTAAGGATAAACTTCCATATCCTTAAAACTAAAATTCCACTGATTGTGACCATTTATTATGAAAGGGAGTTCACATAATTTTTTTTTTTTTAAGTGAACCCTAGAATGTAAGTACTTAGTGCACTTTCTCAGTCACTCAAGGGAATGGAAGAGGAAGGGAATAAGACAGGTCTTCCAAAAGAACGCCACCAAGCATTCTGGGGTGCAGGTCACTCGTGCAGAAATTCCCTGGCGACGCTAACAGAGCCCCCGCAAGCCTGCCCACCCAGCGACCAAATCCGAGGCAGCCTTTCTCATCAGGGATGCACCCTAGCGTCCCAGAATGCCTCGGGCTTCCCGCGCCGCTCGTTTTCCAGTAGCTTAACTAGAACTCGGTGGGCCAGCACTGCACGAAGGGGAATGACCTTCAAGATCAGAAGCAAACAGTGGTCTCCACTCTCAAACGCAACTCTCAAGTGACCGAAGTCACAGTCGCCTTACAAACAACCCTTTTGGGTTGGGTGGTGGTATTTTTTTCTAAGTCCCCTTTATTGCTGATGAGACTAAACTCTAAACCCAGGACCCCCGCCTCTCCTCCGAGAACGGAGGCCAGGAGAGGCGCGGCGCGGCTCACCTCGGAGAAGGGCCATGGCGACAGCAGACAGCAAAGGGTTCTCTTCCAGCAACGCAGAGGGGGCAGGACGACACCCAGATCTTAAAAGCTGGGGGCGGTGCCCGCGAAGCCACGCCCCTGCCCTTTCACCTACTTTCGGACCTGCGCCCAGGGCAGCCCCGCCCCATGAGTTCATTCTCTTTGGCGTGGAGCTGCCCTCCCGGTGCTGTGTGGTGGGAACCAGAGGGACTGCGTGAGGGAAACAGGCCTTGGAGAAAAGAATGGTCCTTGCGTTTCTTTCCCTCCCATCTTTGTTTTTAAAGAGCCCTGGCCGGTTTGTTTCAGCGGTTAGAGCCTCGGCCTGCGGTCCAGAGAGACCCGGTTCCCGCAGGTGCCTCGGTTGCAGTTTGTCCACGGCCCTGGTTGGGTTGTGTGGGTGGCAGCCACTCGATGGATGTGTGTCTCTCTCCCTCCCACTCTATCTGAACAAAAAAATGGAAAGATGTCCTCAGTGAGGATAAAAATAAAGACTTGACCTGTTTCCAGATCAAGAGAATGATTTGCCTCTACCCTATCCATCCTATCCTTGGTCTCCATAAGTCCCCCTCCCACAGGTAATTAATGTTTCTCTGCTTTGTGCCTGCAGTTTCTTAGGCCTTGGACCAGACTTCCTGATACTATGTTGCCCACAGCGCGGCAGGGGTCTCAGGGAGGTGGGGCTCAGACGGTCAGGACATGACGTTGTGTGGGCGGGGCTTGGAGGAAGGCGCGGGGATTGGTTGAGCCGCTCTTGGGCTGGGCGGGCGTTTGCGTAAACCGAGGGCAGAGGCGGAGGCAGCTAGGAGGTCGGCGGGTGGTTGGGTCCTGTGGCAGAGTGGGTGCGGGGCAGAGTGGGTGCGGGGAGGTTGGTGTTGGGGCGAGGCAGTGAGGGTCGTAGGGTAGGTGTGTCCCCAGATCCCCGATGCAGCCCCCTGATGAGCCTGAAGTATTTTCCTTATATGATTGGGCCCCAAGGCTGGCGGCGCCGCTTGCCTGGAGCCTAAGAGGATTATGACCACGCGTAGGCGAAGTGGGGCTAGGGGACTGGGGGAGGGGAGATGAGCAACAGGTTAGGCTAGAGATGAGGGAGGTTAAGGGAGGCCTCTTCGCTGTAACTGTTAGCCCTGGTCGATGATGACGAGACCACTGCGCAATCTGAGTTCTGTAAACCAGGTGATGGAGTGTGTTCTGAGAACGGACTGAGACCGGGCGAACAGGAGGCGACCGGAGCAGAGGTGCGGTAGATCCACAGCACCCGGGCTGGAGGCGGGCCAGGCTGCTCTGGGCTTGGTTCTCACGGGTGGGAAGGGGTGGGGAGAGGCCTTAAGGTTTTCTGGGATCGGTCAGAGAATGCCCTCCCCCAAATCCTGCTTTTCAAACGCCTTGGTGGCCCTCTCACACTGTGCTTGTTTTCTGATTCTAATTTTTCTTTTTTAATGAAAACTTTTGAACATACAGAATGGAAAGACTTACAAGGAACACCCAAATATCCACCATCTATATCCTACAGTTTGTTTTATCGCATCTGTCTATCTGTTCTTCTCTCAAACCACCTTATTTTTTTTTAAATGCGAACTTTAGTACAATTCACCTCACGTGTCAGAGGTTAATATTTATTTACAGTTCTTTTTAAGTCAAATTACCAGTCAGTCAAATGTACAAATCTTAAATTGAATTAATTTAAAAAATGTATATACTCTTGTAACCCAAACCACTATGGCCGTTAAAACATGTCCATCATACAGAAAATTCCTTCCTATCCTTTCCCAATCTCCACTCAGTCAACCATAGTTCTCTCTGTTGTTTTTTTACCATCGATTGCAATTTGATCCTCTCGTTTACTCCTTTTCTCTTTTCTGTTGCTTTAAGTGCACCTTGAACTTTGGCAGTCGATTCAGTACATACTTTAAAAAATATGTATGCTGCCCTGTTTGGTTTGGCTCAGCAGTTAGAGCATTGGCCCTTGGTCAGGAGAGTCCTGGGGCTCAGTTCCTGCTAAGGGCACATACCTCGGTTGTAGTTTGACCCCCGTCCTGGTTGGGGTTGTGTGGGTGGCAACCACTTGATACTTATCTCTCATGTTGATGTCTCTCTCTGTCTTTTCCTCCCTCTATCCCTCCTGCTCTATCTGAGGATAAAATGCAAAAATGCCCTCAGGTGAGGATAAAAATAAATAAATGTATGCTCCGGTTTCACAATGGAATTTGGACTTTGTTTTGTTTTGTTTTTTTATCCTCACCCGAGGACATTTTTCCATTTTTTGTTCAGGTAGAGTGGGAGGGAGAGAGAGTAACAGAGAGAGAGAAAGAGAGAGAAACATCGATGTGAAAGGAACACATTGAGTGGCTGCCACCCGCACAACCGACCAGGGCCAGGGACAAACTGCAACCGAGGTACACGCCCTTAGCGGAACCGAACCCGGGTCTCTCAAGACCGCAGGCTGACGCTCTAACCGCTGAGCCAAACTGTCCAGGGCTGGACTTTGAATTGATCAAAGCTTACCACATACTTGATGGTGATCTTTTTTTTTTCATACATTTGTTGGATAATGAACAGGGAATAATAATAAAATACAAGCTGCCAGCATTGTGCCAGTCACTTACATACACTCTGTATAATTTGTATACTCAGGTGGTATAATAATTACTGTATAAAGTAGAATAACATAAATTCATCCACATCACAGAAATCCAGATTGAGGGACATTCTGCAGCCCCACGAGGTAGGGGGTTTTCCTTCCTCATTTATAAGTCAGGAAGCTTAGGCCCCGAGAAACCAAAGAACTTGCAAGGCTTCACATGTAAAAAGTTGCTGAATTAGAATTTCGAGGCCTTGATTCTCAAGGAAAGAAGCCCAAGGCCCATGTTGTGGGCTTACAGGATGTGGAATATAGGAGTGGGATAGAAAAAGGCAGGTATCATTAGCTAGATGAATGTTACAGAAAACAGAAAAGGAGGTGAATGTTTAGTGAATCTTCCTTGGAGGAAGAAATAAAGTATTTGGGAAGAAATCTGGGTAAGGATAACTTTCTATTTTTGCCAGTATATGGTGGTTTAGTTTCAGAAAATGTATGTGTTTTTTTTTTCTTGGTTGGGGGTTGTCTGGGTGGTGAGAGAGAAAGTGTGGTTTCAGGTAGGTGGAGGAGTGAGGCACTGTGTCTGCAGCCTTTCTCAAACAGGGTTCCTACAGAAAGTGATTTTGAGTGACTCTTTTCTCAGTCCTCCCACGGATGGTACCATTCCAAATGTGTAGGAGTTATTTCATTACATATAATGGATATCTTAGGGCATTAGAACTTGTGTTTGGAACCTAGTCACTCAGTTCTCGTATTTTGCCATTGTATTGCTGCAGGCTTATTTTTTCCAGATGGATGCTTTTGGCAGCAAGTACCAAAATGGCTGAAGCAGGTTTTTTATTGTTTCATGTAACAAGAGGTTCTGTAGGTAGCTAGTACAAGGTTAGTTCAGCAGCACTACCTTGTCAACCCTTTACAGTAATTTGGCCAAAATGCACCCCCCAAAAAAAGGAGTGTTATCTCTAGGTTCATTTTGACTTTGGGATGCTGGCATTCCCTCAATGTGAAACTAGTGTGGCATTGATGAATGCACTTTAGAATTAAGTTCCCCTAAAATGTTTTTTTACAGCTTCCAGATACGATTTTACTTTAATAGCCTTCCTGTGCTTAGGTCATTAAAAGCCAGCACTGTGTTTGATTTACCCACGTATCCCAGCATCTGGTTCAATGTAAAGCATGTAGTAAATATTACGGGTTAATGAATGGTCTTGTCTGCAACAAATAGCCTAGAACTACAATTGAGTTTTAACCTAGCTCAGTGCTTTTTCAACTTCACTATCTTTTATTTCTAAATAATAGGGTTAAGACAATTTTATCTTTTAAGTGTCATTTATACAAACATAACAGAAATATTCCTTATTATGAATGACAGCGAATGCTCACCTACTAGGAAGAAAAATGGATAAATGTATCTTTACCTGCTGCTGCAATTGAGAAATGTTACTTGGAAGTAGATGAAGAGAAGTAAGATGTGTCATGCTTGGATAATGATGTCTCTTGAGATGTGATTTTTTTTTTTTTTTGTGATCCATAAACACAACTTATTTATTCTTACAAAGTAAAGTGTAATAGTCATGAACATAATAGGATTTTCCTATTTTTATTTTAAAAAAATTTTTTAGAGAGAGAGGAAGGGAGAGGGAGAGAGAGAGAGAAACATAGATCAGTTGCCTCCCATACTCACCCTGACCAAGGATTGAACCCACAAACCTAATTATGTGCCCTGATCAGGAATCAAACCTGTGACCCTTCAGTGCATGGGATGATGTCCCAACCAACTGAGCCACACTGGTCAGGGAGGATTTAAAACAGAAAAGATTCCTCATCTGAGGATATTTTTCCATTTCTGTTCAGATAGAGTGAGAGGGAGGGAGGGAAAGAGAGAGAGAGGAAAAGAGAAAGAGAGCGACATCGACATGAGAGAGACACATCTATTGGTTGCCTAGTGCATGACCCCAACCAGGGCTGGGGACCGAACCAAAACTGCAGTACGTGCCCTTGACTAGAATGGAACCCCTGACTCTTTGGTCCTGGGGCTGGTGCTCTAACTGCTGAGCCAAACTGGCCAGGGCAGGATTTTCAAATTTTTAATAGTCATGAATATAATAGGGTTTTTCAAAGTTTGAATTTCCTGATAAATCACTTGTTTTATGTAAAGTTGTTTTGTGTGTTAAGAAATAAATGTACTTTGTTGATCCAGTGGGTGTGAGAGTATATACACCGTATTAAAAGTGCTGATATGCCCTGGCTTGAGCATCAGTCCGAGGAGCAAAGGGTCTGGAGTTTGATTCCCAGTCAAGGGCATGTACCGGGGTTGCAGGTTTGATATGAGTTGTGTGGCAACTGATTAATGTTTCTCATATTGATGTTTCTCTTTCTCTCTCTCTTTTCCTCCCTCCCTTTCTTTCTATGTAAAAATCAATGGAAAAATATCCTGAGGATTAACAACAACAACAAAGTGCTAATATATATTGGTTTTACCATGCTTAATTACATTTTAAATAACCATGGACAAAGTCTGTTTCTTTCCTGTCCCTATATCCCCTTGAAGATCGAAAGAGAGTATGATTTGGAAGAGATAAAAGTGGGCAGTTATGTAGTTAAAGAGCCCTCGTTTAAGTGAAGACCCAGGTTCCAGACACAGCTCTGCAGCTTACCGGCTGCAAGACTTGAGTAGGTTATGAACCCTGAGCTTCACTGGTGAAATGAAGGATTTAGATGAGATGATCTGTGTGTTTGCTCCTGGCTCTGAAACATCATGCTCCTCAAATTCTATGTTATCTGAGAAACCAGAATTACTTTCAATACTATATTTAATATTTTGCCCAAGGCCTGTGGGTACCAAGTAACTAAAATAAGAACTATTAAAGAGCTTACAAATCTAGTCTTTCTCTTTTATCATGTGAATTTTAAAATTAAGTTTATTAATTTTTTACTAGAATATATAGAATTTTTACAAGAACATTTACTAGATTACTATGGCAACATGTCATTTATAATAAATATTAGTAGAATTAGGAATATATAAATATCTGCTGATATCGTATCACAATTATCCCATAATTGGTCATTTTCCCAACTTGAGTGAACTAACATTGTTTCATTTTCAAGGCAAAGCATTGGGAATGGTTTTTAAAACCATGTTATACTTAAGCTAATTAAAAAAAATTTTTCTTTATTGATTTTAGAGAGACAGGAAGGAAGAAAAAGAAAGATAGAAACATGGATGAGCGAGAACATCAATTGGCCGCCTCCTGCATGCTCCCCACTGGGGATTTGGCCCAAAACCTAGGCATGTGCCCTGACCGGGAATCAAACCGGAGAACTCTTGGTGCGTGGGTTGATGCTCAACCAAGGAGCCACACCAGCCAGGCGACTTTAGCTAATTTTTAATGGGTCATAAGAATACAAGTAATTGACAAGGAGATCAAAACAGCTTGTATGAAAGATTGACAATGTAGTGACTTTCTAAATA